TTCAATGGTTGTCTTTTTCCGTTGTTGTGAAAAAGTAGTTTGGAGTATACTTCAATTTCTTGGCAGGGTTCGTTAATAAGGACCGTAACGTACTCGGCTTTTCCACCACTTCCTTATAATCACTTTGTTGGCCGCAAGACGCCGTTGAAGTGCTGCTGGTATAGCTCCATTCTGCAGTTTTGTAAATCTGCCCTGTGAAGTTCCCAAGAGCCACGCACTTCCATTCAGCATACTATAATTCCTCATTCATCCTTCAGGCGAACTCGATTACGAGTTGTAAATATGCCGTACTTGGATGAATGAGAGTTTTGGGTGGAATATCTCCAAAGAAGGCTAAAAGTAGAGGGTAAAAAATATCACATTAAAATACTATGAGAAAAATACGCAACTTACCGCATCATAATCACTCGTGCCATTCAGGAAATTGTGATATGTGCTGCAATTGCCCTCAATGAAAGTGTCATTTTTAAAAAATAGTGATGTGCAGAGTTGCCCCAATACTCGGTACCCAAAGTTTCGGTATTGGTAACCGATACCGATTCAATGCAATATACCTTAGTAATAATATAAGTACACTTAAATCACCTGTTGCACAATTTCGGATCCATTTTGTTTTTTTTTGCAGAAGAATAATAAAGGTTCACATAAAAATGAAGCGTTCTCTGAAATTTCTACAACGAATGACTTTCAGTTATTTAATTTTTGTTCTGTACCCCCTGAAGGCGCTGTGGACTCAGTACTCACAAAGAATTCCGTACATAGCCCCTTAAAAAAAAAAAAAAAAAATAATAATAATAATATATGTATATATATATATATATATATATATGTATACATATTCATTTATTTATTCCAATTGGAATTTGTAAGACATCGCCTCAGAGTTCGCTAATGAGCTTTATCTCTAAAAATTGCTTCCATACGTTTGGCTGTCGTGCGCTTTTGTTAGAAGTTGTTTAATAATCCGACACCGAGTGTCGAAAGTATTGGATACTTTTAAATAGGTACCGAGTAGGTATGAATACTCATATGTGTGGACTCAGCACATCTCTAATACAAGAACGTAAATTTCAATTTACGCTCTTGGTTGACAGCGCAGCCAGGGTTCGGACTCCCCTACGATCGGTAAACTGAAAATCTACTACGCAACTCAATACCGGCGAACTACTTAGATTTGTTCGGGACAAATCAAAGCGTATTAAATGTGCTTTTCTTTTTAATAAAATCATGAGTTATTAAATTTTGAAGGGCCCTCCAACTTAGTAATTCTCAAATAAAGCATTAAGTTGTGATACTCCCAAGCACATATATAAACACCGGTGTACGAAAATAAACTATAATGCACATTACTATTTCATTTCGTTTATTCCTTCAAGAGTTCGTTGCAATACGAAAACAAAACGGCTGAGTTTACTTTGCGATAGTACACTACAGTAGTTTAGTAGTTACAGACGAAACAACAAACGAAATGAATTGTGCAGAGAAAAAGATATGTATGTATGTAGTACATGTCTTTAAATTAAATTGAATATGAAAATTTACGAAAAAAGAAATATATTTTTCACGTAATCGAAACGTTTACATACATATAAAACGTACCCTATGGTACCATTGTCACAAACGAAAAGCAACAGTCTCTCGTTGGGGAAAATGAAAGTGAATCTTACAAGATGGTTCTGACTATGTACAAAACTGTATAAAACTACAAATGATATGATGATCGATGAGCAAATGGGAATTGTTTTGTACAACCTACTTTCGCACGCTGATAAGCACTTGCGATGTTCCGCACCATGCGAACAAATAATGAGCTTACCTTTGTTTTGGGTGGCAGGCCATGTAATTACACTAAATTCATACTTTGTTCTAACTTTTTATCTGAATCGGTTTATTTATCGAAATGAAGCATTTAGTTTTTGTTCTCAAGATAGTTTGTATAAAAATCTAGACGGCCACATTGTTAGCCACAGCCAAGTTGGCAGTCACTAAAGCATTTATAAATAAAATGTGAAAACATAACTAAATGGCCTAAAAGAGATACCGTGATTTGTTGTTTTGTTGTTGCTACTTCTGCTGCTGCCTTTTCCCCAATGTATTTGTTTGCTATTAACCATTTTAATGGGCCATGAGGTTATTGTTTTGCTTCTTAGGATCCAATAAAACTGCAACGCCTTACAAACACAAAATCCCTCAAGCTTGTGATTAGTTTGCATTGCCGATTTGCTCCGGACCTATAATTTATTGTTTACAAGGCTCATCAACAAATACTATGCATGGTTTTAGTTACCTTAAATCAAGTTGTCAGGCGTTCCAGCCCACTTCCTATCTGCGATTTTTTTGATTGCCCTTACTTATTTACTTTTGTTTTGGGTGGCAGGCCGTGTAATTACACAAATTAACAAAATGACAACTCACCGATGCGAGCAGAGAAATCAAAGTCGATAACCGTGTGTCGATGCATAAACATAAGGTGCCCCACACACTGTATGCAAAACTCATGCAATATTATGCACACTATACACTATCACAAGACAGTGATATATGAGACCACCCGTACCATAAAATATACGAAATTTACAATAGCCACATATAATTAAGTTTTTTTTGCTACTCGCCACCAAACTAGAATATACATATATATACAAGTACGTATATCTATATAGCCAAATATACACAAAAGGGAAAAAATAATGACTTCAGACATCAACGATGACTCGCTTCACCTCGATGAGAAAGAAGGCCGAGCAACAATCAAACCGCTTTGCTCTAGCGTGCCGTTTATGCCAAGGTATGCATCCGATACGGCGCTGCCCATCATTCCGCGGTAAAACTCCCGAAGAGAGACAGAGGGAGGCACTGATTGGTCGCTTCTGCGGAAACTGCCTGTCCATGATGCATCGGTCTGACGAGTGCACGAGCGAAGAAAGATGTCGTCGGTGCCGCGAAAAACACCACACAACGCTGCACATGGATGACGAATCCGAACCCCTTCAGCCGATTGATACACGCCCATGGAGCGAGCAAGTTGCTAGTGAGGACGAGTCCGAACGCGCGTTATCTATCAACGCGTCCGACCACGCAGATGAAACCAGGCCGCTCCGCCTAGAAGATGAACCAGCAGAATCCACACCGGAATCTGGGACTCCCCTCCCGACTATAACCAGGGGATCGGAAACACGGCCTTTCCGACCCCTGTTAGAGCACGAACGACGCCGAGAACGTGGATCGGAAACACGGCCTTTCCGACCGCGGTCAACAGCCCGGCAGAACCGTAGAGCGGAAACTAAGCCTTTCCGCCTGCGGCAAAAGCGAGAGGAGTCAAACAGGCCCAATCGCGATCAGGGTAGACTGGAGACGAGGCCTCGCCAGCTATCCATCGCATTTCGAGCGGGTCGACTTGCACGCGAAACCCAAGAGTTACGACCGGTGACGTCTATTGCTCCAACGGTCGTGGTAAAAATAGAAGCTCGTGGACGGTTGCACCTTATACGCGCGTTAATTGACGTATGCTCTCCGACTTCTATAATTGCGACAGATTTAGCGGTAAAACTCAGGCTCGACGTTTCAAATTTCGGAAACCAACGTGGCTGTCTACTGCGTCTGAGGGGAAAACACGGCCAGAACACCAGGTTGGCTATCCCCGCCACAACGATAAACAATTACGTCCGTGTTAGCCCCACTAGTAGCGTCGATCCGTCAGTAGCGACAGCGTATACGCACATACGACTAGCGGATCCAAACTTTTATACGTCGACACCGATTCGCTTAGTACTGGGAGCCGACGTATACCCAGACATCGTACTGCCGGGTATGCTCCCAAACACGTTTGGTCCCTTTATCGCCCAAAGCACAATTTTTGGATGGATGCTCTCAGGAGTATGTCGCTCCTAAATTCAATGTTTGATTTTTTTTTTTGTAAACATGAATTTTACTGAATTTGGAAATTTTTTATCAATAAATGTGCTCTGAAATGTTCAACCATACCTTTTTCATTAGTATTTCTTCCTTTTATTCCTTCATTAGCTAGGAAACTAAGACGTGGACCACCGGAACTTGGAGGCATCCTGCCACTGGAAACAATAATAATCTTTTTTTCTCAAATGAATTGTTATTTTACATATATTTAGACTGTTTTTTTCTACTTCTTAGTACTCAGTCCGGCGTGGTGGCTGAAGCGCTCGACCGATGTTGCTGATAGCAAGGGGGGCCGGCATGTTTAGGCCTTCATGCAAAACCAAATGATTTAAAGGTCGAACCACCCTAATGTAAAAGTGCATTGACTTGAGCCGACCACACAAACACACTCAGGCATATATACGGCCTACCTTTATTGCCTTCATGCAAAACCAAATGATTTAAAGGTCGAACCACCCTAATGTAAAAGTGCATTGACTTGAGCCGACCACACAAACACACTCAGGCATATATACGGCCTACCTTTATTGCTACGCCGTTAGCAATAAATGTATTATTTCCCGTTGTAACATATTTTCGTTAAGTTTCCCCTCCGAGCAGTTGGCTGCCGGCTATTATACACTAATACACTTGGTTGTGTTTTTTCCATTTTCTTTTTTTCAATTGACATTGGTGCCACTGCGGGAGTTGCGACCCATTCGTTCACCGATCGTTCACATCATTACACTGCGACACAACCAACCGCTGAAGCAGCGCTACTACCCGCGCAATCCCGCCATGCAGCAGGTAATAAACACCGAAGTGGACGAATTACTCACCGCTAACCGGATAGAACCCTCCAGGAGCGCATACAGCTCACCAATTGTACTAGTCAGAAAGAAACAAGGAACCTGGCGGATGTGCATTGATTATCGTCAACTCAATGCCGCTAGTGAACCCGACGCGTACCCGCTGCCTCAAATCGGAGCCATTTTGGACCAGCTAAAAGAAGAAAAGTACATCTCAACCATCGACTTAAAGAACGGCTACTGGCAGATACCGTTAGCCAAGAAGTCTCGGCCATATACCGCCTTCACCGTTCCCGGCCGAGGACTTTTTCAATGGAAGGTAATGCCCTTCGGACTACACTCCGCCCCAGCCACCTTCCAGCGCGCCCTCGACTCTATACTCGGCCCGGAATTTCAACCAAAAGTGTTCGCCTAATTAGACGATATCATCGTGCTAGGCGAAACGTTCACCGAACATATGACCTACTTACGCGAAGTCTTTCATAGACTTCAGAACCACAAAATGCAAATCAACTTCGAGAAATGCAGTTTTGTACAACAAAAACTGCATTACTTGGGACACATCGTTAGCTCTGAAGGGATACACACCGACCCTGGAAAAGTAGCCGCGGTACGGGAAATGACTGCGCCCCGAACCATCAAGGAGCTTCGCCGCTTCCTTGGACTTGCCTCCTGGTACCGCCGCTTCATCGCTAACACTCGCGGCACCCCTCAACCAGTTACTCAAAAAGAACCAAACTTGGACATGGGGCGAATTACGGAACAACGCATTCGAGGCGCTCAAGGGAAAACTGACTTCCGCACCAATACTCTGCTGCCCAGACTTCAACCAACCATTTTTTCTACAAACCGACGCTAGCGGAGAAGGACTCGGCGTGGTCTTATTTCAGCGCCATTCGGATCAAGAGAAAGTCGTGGCCTATGTCAGTAGAAGTCTGTCCAACTTAGAAAAGCGTTACTCAGCTACGGAACAAGAATGTCTGGCTGTCCTGTGGGGAATTCGAAAAATGAGACCATACTTAGAGGGCTATCAGT